ACCACAGATTTCTGTTAATTCTACAATTTCATATAGTGCTAAAACTTGGCACCAAAGGCTTGGACATTTCCCTATGAATAAATTGAGCCTTCTAAGTGATATATCTGTTTCCCACAACAAGAATCTAGCCTATGATGCTTGTCACTTTGCAAAGCACAAAAGATCCCCCTTCCCTCTAAGCAACACAATATCATAATTTTGTTTTGAATTAATACATGTTGATATTTGGGGTCTATTTTTGGTTCAATCTCTGGGAGGGGAACGCTATTTTTTAACTATAGTGGATGATCACTCAAGGTATACTTGGATCCATCTAATGAAACAAAAGTCTGAAACTCAATCCTTGATCAAGAAGTTTCACAGATTTGTTCACACTCAGTTTGGATTACCTATCAAGACCATACGCAGTGATAATGGTTTGGAATTTAACATGGTGGATTTCTTTGTTGACAATGGTATAATTCATCAAAGGTCTTGTGTGAACACGCCACAACAAAACGCAGTAGTGGAACGTAAACACCAACATGTTTTGAATGTAGCCAGAGCCTTGCGTTTCCAAGCTAATCTCCCACTGGTTTTCTGGGGGCAGTGTGTGTTGCATGCAGCCTTCCTTATCAACCGGCTTCCATCACCGGTTATTGAGTGGTCAAGTCCTTATCAAAAATTATATGGGAAGACACCGGACATCAGCAACTTGAAGGTATTTGGATGTCTATGTTATGCCTCTACTCTGCCTCATTCACGCCACAAAATGGCATCCCGCAGCAGAAAATGCATCTTTGTTGGTGTTCCAGTAGACATTAAGGGCTATTTGCTATATGATATTCAGGATAACTCCACTTTTGTCTCACGGGATGTGACATTTTATGAGGAACAATTTCCTTATGCTAAAGGAGACAATCATGCAGCGGATTCTAATCCTAGCCCATATCTGCCTATTATCCCCATTACTAATTGCGAAGAGTTTAACTTTCAGGCACAGACTGGTAATCAGCTCCTAACTTTGAATGAGCATGTTGATGATGGCATTCCATCCCAGGTGGCTGTTGATGTTAGAAGTCCTCCAGCTGTTACTCCAACAAATATAATTGGCAGTCCTTCTATGCCAAACTCTGAGCACAATGAAACAGACAGCGCGGCTGTAGACAATATGAGCATATCTTGTTCAGATCCTCCTGTGCAGCCTCGGAGATCGACCAGAGAACGCCAAATACCAAGCAAACTACAAGACTATTATTGTGACATTGCTGTTACAAACAGAAGATCGCCCCACTCTCTATCGAAGGTAATCTCGTATGATGTTCTTGAGCACATGCATAGAGTTTTTCTACTGCAGTCACCAACATTAGCGAACCAAGAAACTATAGCCAGGCCATAAAACATGAATGCTGGAAAAAGGCAATGGAAGCAGAAATTGACGCTCTTCAGAAGAATCAAACATGGGAGTTAACTCAACTCCCTCCCGGGAAAATCCCCATAGGTTGTAAATGGGTATATAAAGTGAAGCTCAAGGCTGATGGTAGTTTGGAAAGATGCAAAGCAAGGCTCGTGGCGAAAGGCTACACCCAACAGCTAGGCATAGACTACCTTGAGACATTTTCTCCGGTAGCAAGGATAACTACTATTCGTACTTTTCTTGCAGTAGCCGTTTCTTGTGCTTGGCACATCCACCAAATGGATATAAACAATGCTTTTCTACATGGAGATCTAAACGAAGAAGTGTATATGGTGTTACCCCCCGGATTTCAAAGTGAAAAGCCTAACCAAGTCTGCAGATTGCTACGCTCTTTATATGGCCTTAAACAGGCAAGCAGACAATGGAATGCAAAGTTAAGTATGGCATTGGTTCATAACGGTTTTAAGCAGTCAAGGCATGATCCATCCTTGTTCACAAAAGGAACTGGTGTGAACTTTATTGCTTTACTTGTGTACGTTGATGACATACTCGTGGCCTGTGCTAACATGGAACCAATTCAACAACTAAAGCTATTTCTAGACAGCACTTTCAAAATAAAGGATTTGGGATCATTGGGATACTTTCTGGGAATTGAAGCTAAGGCAAAAGCAGATGGCTTGAACATTTGCCAACGCAAATATGCATTAGACATACTAGAAGAAGCCGGATTCCTTGGTTGTAAGCCCGCTAACACACCAATGGTGCACGGTCTAAAGCTGAGTCATGGTGATGGTGTACATCTTGATGATGTCGGCTGCTATAGAAGATTGATAGGGAGATTATTGTATCTCACGACCACGAGGCCTGATATCACATTCACCGTTCAACAACTCAGTCAGTTCATTGATGCCCCCACAGACAAACACTTATCAGCTGCTCACCGTGTGCTAAGATATATCAAAAAATCTCCCGGCCAGGGGATCTTTTATCCTGCCAACATGGATATGCAGCTCATAGTCTTTTCTGATTCAGATTGGGCTGCCTGCTTTGAAACACGAAGGTCCATTACTGGTTACTGCATATTCCTAGGTCCTGCACTGATTTCATGGCGATCCAAGAAGCAGGTTACTGTATCTCGGTCATCCTCCGAGGCCGAATACCGTGCGTTGACTGCTACTGTATGTGAGGTTCAGTGGCTCACCTATATACTCCATGACTTGCAGGTTGAGCTAAACAGGCCAGCAACAGTCTTCTGCGACAACAAATCGGCAATTGCCATCGCCGAAAATCACGTCTTCCATGAGCGCACCAAACATATTGACATTGATTGTCATATCGTTCGAGAAAAACTGAGTCAAGGTTTGATTAAGCTCTTGTCCGTCTCATCATCCAACCAGACTGCCGATGGATTCACAAAGCCTCTGCCGGTAGCCCAGTTTCAATACTTTACCTCTAAGCTGGGCATACAAGACCTGCATGCGCCAGCTTACGGGGGGGTAATAGAGAATAAAGTAGAAGCAGATTTAATGGACGAGAAGCAGACTTAACAGATGAAGGAAGCAGACTTAACAGATGAAGGAAGAAGCTAGATAGCGTAATGACTCAAGGGTGTTATGGTCTTTCCATTGTAACTATCATTAGCGCCACCTTTCTTCTATATATTTTGATTGTATTTTTCTCCTCAAAATAATGAGAAAATATCTTAGCTTCCAATGAACGCTCTCTGTTATTTCGATCTTTAATCTTGCATCGTAGGCTTCCAACATAGGAAAATCTTGATTGTGGAAATAGCGTTGGGGATCGAGCTTGGCGATGTTGATTGCTCGATTGGTCCGCAGTTGTCAGTCGGGACTGAGCGGTCTACGACCGGACGGTGTTAATTGCTTTGTTTAGAAACTGCTCAGTGTTCTGTTCCGATTATCAGCTTGGGAACTGTTGTCATGGTTTAAAGGGCCCGGGATTACTTAATCGAGAAGTAGCTCAACTATCTTGAGAAATAAAGTCCGCCAGTCGGGAACTTTGTGCACGGAGAAACTGATATCGGTCTGCGCCGAACGCATTCCAATTGCGCTCGAGATAGGTATGTTCTGTCTTTCAGCTCGGGAAATGACGTGACACCGGAGTCTGCAAATCGGAGCGGTGATGACCACAAGTCCCCAAATAGCTCGGTCGATTATGGATATAAGTTGTCGAAAATCCGCAGTGATTGCTCGGGCTCCGGCTTGTTGTTAAGGACAATCGGCGAGAAGTTGACCGATGGACGGTTCTGGATGTCTGCTCGGCATCAGTCGCTCGTCGGGAAAAACCGGGAGACTTGTCGCTGATGTGTAGAATAATAATATGTGTCGATTGCAGTCGAGTGGAAAATTGGTGTCGCCATTATGCTGCACCGGCTTGGATTCGGCACTCTCGACCTCTAGTCTAGACATATATATATATGTATTGGGACTGGGGCGTCAAACACCGAGTGTCTGCACACGTTCTTCCCTTTCTTGATATGTGAATACAGCCGGCTGGTAGCTACGGCTTAACTATGTAATTTACAAATGGAAAATCTATCGCCAGTCCTAATACATTTAGCTATAATTAAAACAATTTGCAATTTAGGAATCCCCCTCCTGATCTTCCTCCCACGAAAGCTTTTGGGAATTTTCTCTTAACTTTGAACACTGCCACATACTTAGCATTTGCACTCCACCGCCAATATCCTTCAATCAGACTACACGCATGCACTAACCATTTTCCTTTTCCTTTTATTCTACCACTACTCCCCTCTACCCCCACCTTCCTGCTGGGTTTGCTTCATCAAAGATAGGAAGGAACACCCAGGAATCTCGGGGAACAGGGTTGAAAGAGCTGGAGAATGATGATGAAATAGCGCAGATGGTAGTGAGAAGATGCTCCGTAGGATGAAGACGAGGCCACTAAAGAGGGAATTGGTCTCTGCCCACCTTGAATCGGCATGACTTGCGACGGCATTTTCTGAAGGTGGCGGTCACGGTGGTTGCATGCAGGCGCTGCATTTCCTTCGAGCCACCATGCCCTCCACTTAACTCGACGGCGATCAGCACGCCGGAATTCCAGTCAGAGAGCGTTTAGGGAGGGGTCCGAAACTGAGGTCATGAATTATGGTGATGGTGATGGCGAGTCCGCGTTTGATACAGAGGATGCAATTACAGATGACGAATCCTATATACATCTATTACAAAATAAAAGAAATGATAAATTGCTCGGTCGGACGTTTATCAACGGCGGAGTAGCCTGTGGGAAAGGCGATGATGCAGCTGAATAAAGTTGACAACTGAGGCTGCATGTCCAGAGGAATTTGGAAGCCGAAAGACAAATATGAGTTCTACTGAATGACAGGGTAGGGTGGGCGACAACGGTGAAACGGCAACAGCCGCAAGCTGGTACAGAAAGGTGATCTCTGGCGATGGCATCTGGACTCGACAAACCTCACGCTTACTAGCCCGAAGGGTGTGGAAAAACTTTTTCAAGAAAGCTTCATGGGACTCTCAAAGCTTCTGCTCTACTTTCTCATTTCACGACAGTAGTGGAGTTGGTGCGGGTAACTCTAGCGTGAACCAACAACGGGGAGAGCTCTATGAAGAACTTGAAGTTTCTGCTCTGTTTCGCGGGGAGCTTTGGTGGTAGAAATTGGGATAACGGAACTGGTGATGTTTGGTGGCGGATCTGCGCCGACGGCAGATTAGCGAAGCAGCGGCGAAGCTGGTCATCTCTCAGCGGATTAAACCAGCGGCATGCAGCAACGAGATTGGATAGGAAATCCAGCGTCAGTGGAGGTGAGGTCGTGCCATTATATTCTACGGCTTCAGCAGGCATAGTTTAGCCTTCATGCTTTTTCCCTTCTTCTGCAGTTGATGCGTTGTTGGAGTCTCTTGATCTACAGAATGGTAGTGGACAGGGAAGACTTCTTCCCCCTTTTCTTCATCGGATCTGGCTTCGAAACATCCACATCTCTGCTTTTTCATCCGCATGCAGTGGGAACCGTGTTAGGAATAAATTGTAATAGATTTTGATATGCCATATTGTAAATGGTAGAACTCCAATTTTATTTTGGTTAGACTAGTCAGATTCATAGACCAAGAAAGGGAAAAATAAATTCATTAGTTGAGGAAAATGGATGAAGAAGATATAAAGCCTAAAATCAAGAATTTGCCTAGTGAAAATATTTAATGGCAAACAAAAGAGGAAGATGTATGCGTATGAAGAAGTATACACAAGTTATGAAGACTATCATCCTAAGAAGAAATCTCTCAAAGATAATCAAGAAGAAATCTCTCAAGAAATTCCGAAGAAGAAAGAACGTGACTTGAAGTTTGCATGAAGCTATCTTGAAGATCAAGCATCTATAGAAAGAAAGGAGTACACAAAGTGAAACAAGATGATTAAAAGGTTGTACGTATGAGTTGGTAGAAGCTTGAAATATTATACGCAAGGTCACAGGTTTGGCCGAATTGAAATAGGGAACCAATTTCAATTTGGGCTTCAATTCAATTCAAGATATAAATAGCAAGGGATAAGTTTACATGAAGTTGCAATTCAATTCAAGATATAAATAGCAAGGGATGAAGTTTACATGGAGTTGCAAGTAAGGGATGAAGTTTACATCCCAAGTCAATTTATGGTTTGGCCGAATTGAAATAGGGATGCAATTTCAATTTGGGCTTCAATTCAATTCAAGATATAAATAGCAAGGGATGAAGTTTACATGAAGTTGCAATTCAATTCAAGATATAAATAGCAAGGGATGAAGTTTACATGAAGTTGCAAGTAAGGGATGAAGTACATGAAGTTGCAAGTAAGGGATGAAGTTTACATCCCAAGTCAATTTAGAAGATATAAATAGCAAGGGATGAAGTTTACATGAAGTTGCAATTCAATTCAAGATATAAATAGCATGAAGTTGCAAGTAAGGGATGAAGTTTACATCCCAAGTCAATTTAGAAGATGAAGTCTGGAAGAGGAGTCAATTTAGAAGATGAAGTCTGGAAGAGTAGACAGACCCAGAAGAAGTTGCAGAAGCAAAAATACTCGTCTAAACTAGTAAGGGGATGAAGTATCTCAAAATTGAAATAGGGATGCAATTTCAATTTGGGCTTCAATTCAATTCAAGATATAAATAGCAAGGGATGAAGTTTACAAGAAGTTGCAAGTAAGGGATGAAGTTTACATCCCAAGTCAATTTAGAAGGTGAAGTCTGGAAGAGTAGACAGACCCAGAAGAAGTTGCAGAAGCAAAAATACTTGTCTAAACTAGTAAGGGGATGAAGTATCTCAAAATTGAAATAGGGATGCAATTTCAATTTGGGCTTCAATTCAATTCAAGATATAAATAGCAAGGGGGGATGAAGTATCTCAAAATTGAAATAGGGATGCAATTTCAATTTGGGCTTCAATTCAATTCAAGATATAAATAGAAAGGGATGAAGTTTACATGAAGTTGCAAGTAAGGGATGAAGTTTACATCCCAAAGTCAATTTAGAAGAAGAAGTCTGGAATAGTAGACAGACCCAGAAGAAGTTGTAGAAGCAAAAATAGTCGTCTAAACTAGTAAGGGATTAAATTGGATGCAATTCCAATTGAAGGGATGAAGTATCTCAAAATTGAAATAAGGATGCAATTTCAATTTGAAAGGATGAAGTTCACGTATCTCACTCTTGGGCAGAAGTTTCAATTTGATGGGATGAGATTTGGGCTTCAATTCAATTCAAGATATAAATAGCAAGGGATGAAGTTGCAAGTAAGGGATGAGATTTCAATTGATAAATCAAGGAAGGGATGAGATTTCACTTCCAAATATAGTAAGTGATGAAGTTTACATGGGAAGAGATTTCCCAAGTCAATTTAGAAGATGAAGTCTGGAAGCGGTAGACAGACCCAGACGTGAAGTACAGAGGAAAAATACAAGAAGAAGTTGCAGAAGCAAAAATACTAGTCTAAACTAGTAAGGGATTAAATTGAAGATTATATTTTGAAGATAGAAATCCCAAGAGGCGTGATCTACACCAGATGAAGTTTTTGGGACGCCATTTTTGCTAAAACCTCAAGCTCAACTTGCAGAGAATCTCTGACATATCTGCAACGTTATATTATCCTCTGAAAAGGCTATACAGCTATATGAAATTCAAAAATGAGAACGTTTCTTTCCAACGGACGGATTCTCAGTACCAGCTATAAAAAGATGAAGATTGAAGCAGTGGAAAGCAGAAGAAAGTATACAAAGAATACAAAGAGCAGAGCTAAACAGAGCATACGAAATTCAAAGAAAGTTTTCCATCTCAAGATCTTAAATTGATATATTCTTAGTGAGATAAACACTCAGAGTGGTACAGAGCTTACAAAAGAAATATCCAAGAGTGTTAGAATCTTCATCAACTACAAGAGACTTAGCGCTAGGGGTGTGCAGAATCCGAGAAACCCGACCCACCCGCCCGACCCGACAACCGACGGGTGAGCCCGTTGAGCGGCCCGTATCCGAAGACAAAACCCGAACCGAGTGGCCGTTTTTAGCCGAATGAAGAGGGTTCGGGTGGGAGGCATTAAACGCCACCCGAACCCGTCCGAGAAACCGATGAAGCCTAGGGGTTTTTTTACCCTTATGTAATACGACGTCGTGTGTTATATGTATATATACTATCCATTCCGGTCAGCGCAGCCGAGCTCCCATTTCAGTCTTCTCTCAAGTCTCAATCTCTCATCTCTCATCTCTCGTTCTCTCTTTCGCTCTGGTCTTTGAGTCTTACTCTCTAAGACTCTGAGTTCTCACTTCTCAAATCTCAGTTCTCTCAGTCTAATTCTCTCAGTTGTAGTCTGGTGGAAGCCCTATTCGGAGACTCGGAGTAGCGACTAGTCTGGACTCTGGTGGAGTGGTGGAAGCCCTAGACCCTAGTCCGGTCACCGGACTCCGGTGGAACTGTGGAACGGTGGAATAGTGGATCCGAAGCCCTTTGTTCTCGAGGGATTAAATTTGAGAAACGAAGTAATTACTAAACCCTATTTTCATTTTCGTTATAGATTATTGTGTATTTGTCTTCTTGATTAGGGTTTCTAATTTTTATGATTATGTGGAGTTGTGGACTGTGATACTTGTAAATCCATTGAGAAGTTCCGGATTGCATGTCACTAGTCCTTTGAGTTTGAATTTGTGAATTGTGTGATTAGGGTTTCTAATTTGTAACCTAATCTGTGGACTCACTGGACTATGATACTTGTAAATCCGTTGAGAAGTTCCGGATTACATGTCACTAGTCATTTGAGTTTGAATTTGTGAATTGTGTGATTAGGGTTTCTAATTTGTAACCTAATCTGTGGACTCAATGGACTATGATACTTGTAAATCCGTTGAGAAGTTCCGGATTGCATGTCACTAGTCCTTTGAGTTTGAATTTGTGAATTGTGTGATTAGGGTTTCTAATTTGTAACCTAATCTGTGGACTCACTGGACTATGATACTTGTAAATCCGTTGAGAAGTTCCGGATTGCATGTCACTAGTCCTTTGAGTTTGAATTTGTGAATTGTGTGATTAGGGTTTCTAATTTGTAACCTAATCTGTGGTGGAAGCCATACTGCCCTAGCCCCTTGCCACTGTGGAAGTGTGGAACTCAGGAACTGTGTGTGAAATACTGAAATCCTTATAAATGTTAAGCATGATGGTATTCTTGTGGAAGCCATATAAATGTGGGAGTGTGTCTTGTACTCATGTGTGACTGAAATCCATATAAATGATGAGCATATAAAGTAGCATACATCTACTTAGCTTGAATGCCTGATTATGGATTTCATTGTAAATTGTAATTTGTAAGTTGTTAGTTACTTAGTTGTAAGTTGTAACTGTGAAAATGTGAAATTGTAAGTTTATGGATATGTGACCCTTAAATCATTTATGTGCAATTCTGCATACATGATGAAATGTTTAATTCACTGAATTCTGCCTGATTAAGTGTTTAACACTTTAATTAATTGATACATGTGTGTATGTGACAAAGCCCATTCTCTGTTGATGATTTTCAATGAGTGATTTCCCATTCTGTGTCACTGATACTTTCCCCTTTTTAGATGGAAAGTGTTAGTGGTGTTACTGGTGTATCTAGAACCCAACCTGAGTTGGAAGCACCTGCTGTAGAGACTGTTACTCCTCAGTCTCAGCAGCCTTTGCCTCCACCTGTTCCAAAGAAAAGGAAAGAGGTTGAATCCAGGGCTCCATGTTGGGATCACTTTGAAAAGATCAAAGACAGTGATGGCATTGTCATCAAAGGAAAATGTATATATTGTGCAAAAGTGTATTGCTATGAGAGCAAGAAACATGGGACTTCTTCTCTCAGACTTCATGTGGTAAACCACCTTAAAAATCCTCACTCTAAGGAGACAAGGCAGTCCCTACTCACATTCCAACCTGCACCTTCTTCTGCTGGAACTCAAAGTAGTGAAGGAACTGAAGGGGTGTTGGGTACTTGGGTGTTTGATCAAGACTTGATAAGGAGACCCTTAGCTGAGATGATTATTTTAGATGAACTTCCTTTTAGGATTGTTGAGGGACAGGGTTTTAGAAAGTTTGTTTTAGTTTGCTGTCCTAGGTTTAAAATCCCTTCAAGATGGACTATCAGTAGGGACATTTTCAAGATATTTTCTGATGAGAGGGTCAACTTGAAGAAGTTTTTTAGGACTAGCAGTCAGAGGGTAAGTATCACAACTGATACTTGGACCTCAGTCCAGAGAATAAACTATATGTGCATAACTGCACATTTCATTGATAGTGAGTGGAAGCTGCAAAAGAAGATTATTTCATTTGTTCCTATATATTCCCACAAGGGGGAAAGTATTGCAAAGGCTTTAGAGAGTTGCCTTTTGGACTGGGGTCTAAAATCAGTGTTTAGTGTGACAGTAGATAATGCTTCCAGCAATGATACTGCCCTAGGATTCTTGAAGAAGAAGTTGGGCTCTTGGGGTTGTACTGCTGTTAGGTGTAAGTATTTTCACATGAGGTGCATTGCTCACATTCTTAACTTGGTGGTACAGGATGGGTTGAAAGAATGTGACAGTTCTGTTAAGAAAGTCAGGGATGCTGTTAGGTATGTGAGGAGCTCACCTGCTAGGTTGCAGAAGTTTAAATCACTAGCTGATCTAATTGGGGTGGAAGCTAAGAATTCTCTGTGTCTAGATGTCCCTACAAGGTGGAATTCCACATATATGATGCTTAATACTGCATTATTGTTTCAGAAGTTATTTGAAGCCTATGATGATCATGACAGTTCATTTAAATCTGATTTGGGTGGAAGTGTACCTGATTTCTTAGATTGGGAATCCATTCAATCTTTGGTTATGATTCTGAAATCTTTTTATGAAATGACTGTTAGGATTTCTGGATTTTGTATGTGACTTCTAATACCTTCTTCTCTGAGATTTCCGATTTGTCTTGCTTGTTGAAAAATATGGAGGAAGCTACAGAAGATAGTGTTAAACTGATGGGTACAAATATGAGGGCAAAATTTGATAAGTATTGGGGTGAGCCTGAAAAAATGAATTTTTTGATATTCTATGCAAATATCTTAGACCCCAGGGACAAAATTGAGTATACGCCCATTCAGTTTAACCAGTTATATGGTGAGGAAAAGGGTAAAACAATGTTTGATAAGGTGATTGTTGGCCTTAAGGAGTTGTTTGAAGATTATGTTGCATGCTTCCCTGTCCAGTCTGTTGAACAATCTGAAAAATTTTCTCCATCAATAACAATATCTGATTCTGTTTCTGTTGGGAGACCTCAATCATTACTGAAATCTCAGATTAAGAAGCAAAAATTGGTGAGTGGGGATTTGTCTAGGAAAAAAACTGAGTTGGAAGTGTATCTCTCTGAGGTTATTGTGGATGAGGATGATTCATTTGACCTTCTAAGATGGTGGAAGCAACAATCTGAAAGGTTCCCTGTCTTATCTAAAATGGCAAGGGAAATCCTAGCTGTTCCAATATCAACTGTTGCTTCAGAATTAGCATTCAGTACAAGTGGAAGGGTACTTGATGCCATTAGGAGTTCCCTAACTCCTAGAATTGTTGAGGCATTGGTGTGTGCACAGGATTGGCTAAGATTAAGCAATCAACCAATCTCAATTGAAGAAAATATTGAAGATGTTGAAAGGATTGAGAAAGGTATATACTTCTAACTTCCAGCAATGATCTGTTTAAATGTTTAATTGTTTAAGTTCTAATTTCCAGTTTGTTTTTGTACTGCAGAGTTGTGCAGCACATCCAGCACTAGAACTGGAATGCCTACAATTGTTGTATGTTTACAGTTTCCATTAATTTATTTTGAAATCTGAATTTGTGATTACTTATTTGATTTGATTTCATGATAAATTTATGCCTCTGTATCAGTGTATCATGTATTCATGTATGTGTATCAATGATTCAAATCAATGTCCCTCAGAGGCTGGGAAGTTGGAACTGGAACTGGAAAGTGCTCATGACTAGGTAACATTTTAAATGTTGCTGCCATTGAGCTCAGGTATCAGTATAAGTACTGACTAAATGTCTAAATGTGACTTCTGACTTCTGACTCACTACTCTTATAACTGTATAACTGTTCATTATTGTGCTATGATGATGCTTCCACCATGTTCTCTGAATATATAGAATTGGGTTTGGTCTGTTGCCTATGAAGTGTGGTGTATGCCATACTCATTGAGTAGTGTTCCCCCAATCCTAAATTGATATGGAAAAAAAAAAGTATCTGAGCACTCTTTGAGTCTTTGCTATTTAAATATAATTCATTAGTTGTTCCAGTATAAGTATTATTGTGCTATGATGATGCTTCCACCATGTTCTCTGAATATATAGAATTGGGTTTGGTATGTTGCCTATGAAGTGTGGTGTTTATGCCATACTCATTGAGTAGTGTGCCCCCAATCCTAACTTGATATGGAAAAAAAGCTATCTGAGCACTCTTTTAGTCTTTTACAGTTTCAGTTTGTGTGATTGTGTCAATCCTATCTTCAAATGTTTTGAACTTATTGTGTTTTTATGTGTTCACTTATCAGGAAGAAGAATAGACTAATAGAGACATAAAGTACTCTATATTATATTAATCATATATTCATATATTACTTTTGGAGTTTTGGATATCTGGCTTTCTTTTGCTCAATGGATGAAACATGAAAGCTGAAGGCTAATGTGCTGATTGGAGAATGGAGACTGATGCTGTTGCCACTTGCATGCTTGCCTAGTTGCCTGCTTGCCTTGGGAGTTTGGAGAAGATTGTTATATTTTTGCTAATTTGTAACTTGTAATTTGTAAGCTAATCTGCTGATGCCTGATTATATGTAAGCTAATTTGTATTTTGCTGATTATATGTTTACACTTTTATAAGTTTACTTATGTTATTTTTGCTGTTAAGTAGTTAGTACTTACTAGTTAGTGGCTTTTAGTACTTAAGTTAGTTAAGTAGTTCATTAGTTAGGTGTTCCATCATCTATGAATTGAATATTTGATTTTTACATTCTGATAAAACCGAATTACCACACGGATATCCGACTGATCCAATCCAATCCGAAATCAAAATTAACCGATCGGATAAGTCAACCAAAAAAAACGGTTAGGGTGGTCAAATTAGAAATCCGATATCCGACCGGGGGGCTCAGTCCGCCATCCGAACCGTCCGATCCGTCCGACTGCACAGCCCTACTCAGCGCACCATTGAAGATCATCTACAGAGTCTCAAATTTGGAAGCAAGGCAAAACTTGTTTTGAAGCAAAACAAGGGAAAGGAGGAAAGTAATACGGAGTTGTGAAATACTGGATTGTCACACGGAGTTGTGAGATCCGAAGCAGCAGTGTCGGAAGACATTGGGCGTGATTAGTGCGGGCTTTGTGATCAAAGCACTAGATCACGGAAGAAGCGTTTCTACTGGAGCGTAGAAGACGGGGGGAAAGTAACGCGGAGTCGTGAAATCCTGGGAAAGTAACGCGGCGACATGAAACCCGAAGCAGCAGTGTTGGTGGCACTGGGCGTGATTAGTGTGGGCTTGGTGATCAAAGCACTAGATCACGAAATTCATTGTATTTTGGAACCAAGAAGTGGTGGATATAGTGAATTGCTCTTAGAGATAAGAGCAAGTGGAGTAGGAGGATTATACCACCTCCGAACCACTATAAATTGCCTTGTGTTCTTTACTGCTTTCTTTACTTACTGCTCTTGCTTGCTTCTCACGAGAATAATCTTGACACAATATACACACACACACACCGTATCGTTTATTATTTTCGCTGTGCACCGGACTCTAACAATCTAGTTAAGAGTCTTGGTTTCTCTATTGCCTTAGCAATTGTTGTACGGCACTAAAAAGTTTGAAAATCTATTCAACCCCCCCCCCCCCCCCCCCCCCCTCTAGACTTTCACCTTACCTCTTTTGGGACCAACAAACCGGGAAGCAGAGACACTAAATATAAGTTGTGTTGGATTTCTCAAATAGCCACAAACAGAGAAGATAAACAACAAAAGCGAAGCGGAGGAGTGGTCGGGGCGCTGATTTGGTAATCTAATCGCCTGAGTTTAAATCCTTCCACATTTCCAGAATTTTAGAACCCCTTCCCTAGCTTCTTCTCCCCATTTCCAGTATCTCTTCCTAGCTTTTCTTAGATGGTAGGATCGCAACTCTTTGTCACGTTCCCCACAGACGGCGTCAAATGATAGTACTAATTCATACCGTATGTAGTATGTACTAGATGATGTATATATTTGTATATGAATGTATAAACAAGAAGCAAGAACACAAGAAATAGATGAAATGTTTCTTTTATTAATGATGATGTTGTTCGTTCTGGATCCAGAGAGAATTGAGAGTGAATGGAAAGGATAGAGAAAGCGAGAGGTGGCCAAAATGGCCTCCCCTCAACTAACGGGCCAAAGGCCCTTTTATAGGCCCAAGGTGGCGAGTTTGAGCCGCTCCGGAGTTGACCCGTCATTCTTGACTTACACACGTAGACTAGGTCCCGAACCGCTCAATCTCGACCCGACTATACACGGATCCGGGGTATATAACCTATCAGCTATAATGAGAATAAAAGTTTTAAAAATACAAAAATAAAAATTAAGGCAATTGATTCGAATATAATAACATCAAAATCACCAATATATTAAATATTAACAAAAAAATCAAAAAAAAATCTAAAACCTTTAATCCAAACTTAAAAATCAAATTATCAATAAGGTGGAATGATACCCGTTTTTAATTAGGAAATGAAGTTTTTAATTGAAGGGCTAATCAAATCACATAGTTGTGTTTTAAAAAGTTGTCAACCAAACACTTACTATATATGATTTTGATTCGCATTAATGGGGTACGTGTAAACCTATGAACTAAACACACCCTAAATTTTAGTCCGCTAGCTGATTTTTTTTATAATATAAATAATTTTTTTTTGTTATTTTTAAAACATTCTTTTTCCACATAGACGATGATACTAATAGTTTTTTTTTTTTTTTTTTTTTTTTTGAAAACTACTTGATAGCCTATTTATTTATGTACGGTAGCCTATTTATTTATGTACGGTCGTATGGATGTATCGGGTGTATGAGTTCAATATATGATACAAACCTTATAAAAATGGTATTCATCACAAACCTCCAAAAGTTGTTAGATCTCGATCACTATTATATTATTGTTTATAATATTTAGTAATTTCGTTTTATTTTTAATCAAACTTATACTAAATAAACTTATACTTGGCTCCAATGTAAAAATTGTGATTCCTATCTATTTCCTAATTTAGGCATCAATAGCATGTTTGGTTTGGATTTTTAATTTGGAAATAAAAATAGTTTATCCTGTATTTATCATTTTTGCATAATTGAGTGATTGAGTCACTAAACTTAAAGTGTGTGCCATTAAACTTCAAAGAAAGATTTCTTGCTATCCTTATCCTACCAAGCAAACCCTTTTCAAGATGATGTTGGAGGTAATGTGGATTATTATTATTATTATTTTTGTTTTATTTTGTTAGCTTATATGTGGCTTGCAATTGATGACTTTTAATTTATTTCTGGTAACTCAATTGAACATGAATCACAGAGGCTGGAGTCGCCCTCCTTTGACAGGGCGTTTGGTAGGGCGTTTGGTTGGAGGGGGGAATTATGTGGGAAAGGAATTGTAATTTCATGGGAGTTGAATTATTGGGAATAAAGTGGAATTTAAATTCCAGTGTTTGGTTGACAGGAATAGAATTACTGGAAATTTCAATTCCAATGTTTGGTATACATGAGAATTGAAAGGGAATAAGTAGTATAAAGTCAAAAATGTCCATTATTGTTGTCAGACATTAATTTTAGGTTAAAAAAGCAAGGGGTAATTTTGACTCATCACTGCCGTTGGACTCAATCCCTGGTCATTCTTCCAACTTTTCACCTCTATAACCAGTTGAGCTGCCCATGCAAGTGTTATTTTATTATTACATTTATAATACAAAATGCGAGTGAGACCACTTTTAAAAGTGAGAGAGTATTAAATGAATGTAGAGAAAATGGGGAAGAATTAATATATTTGATGATGTGGAAGTGCGATCCACTTTTGAAAGTGAAAGAATATTGCAGGGATAAAAATAGCCGAGTTAATTATCGAAATGTTCCCTTGACTATAGCGAAATTACTGATTTGGTCTTTGACTATTTTTTTGACCAATTAAGTCCCTCAACTCTAAAAACCTTAACCAATTTGGTCCACTGTTTGTTTTGTCGTTAGAGATCCGTTAACTTGGGACCAAATTGATAATTTCGCTATAGTCAAGGGACCATTTCAGTAATTAACTTTAGGGGTAGGCAATTTAGTTTGGTTTTCCCGAACCAAACCAAACTAGTTCGGTTCGATAATAAACCAAACAATCAAACAGTAATGGATTCTTATATACCGAACGGTTCGGTAATAAGATCTAATCGAATACCATATGATTTTTTAAAATATAATAATAATAATAATAATAATAATAATAATAATAATAATAATAATAATAATAATAATAGGTAATTACTGAATTATTATTATCATTAGAGTTTATTACCAAAATGGTCCCTCGACTATTACGAAATTACCATTTTGATCCTCCGTTAAGTTAGGTTTTAGAAGTCTTTAACATAGAGGGCATTGATGGAATTTCACATGTCAAGACCCATTTCCTATATTATTTAATTGATTAACCCATTTCAATTTTTTATTTTTGAAAAACCAAAAACAACCACGCATATATTAATATATAAGAGAGATTGTTCATGAACACATGAGCTGAAAAAACCCCCGACAACCATACTGACGCTTTAAGCAATGGGCTGACTCGTAAGCAATCATAACATTATCAACTATTGATTTACTCGGGAAAAAATCACTTTGATCAGGAGAGAAAATAAGGTCTAATGAACCCCGTAACCTATTTGCTAAGACCTTTGACAAGATACGATAAATAACATTACACAATGAGATAGGACGG